GAGCTGAGCATTTAAAGTTAAAGTTTAATTTCAAGTTCAAGTTAAGCTCAGCAACAAGTTCGTTCTATACCCTGTGACACTCAGATGTCAGATGTACTCACCTCTGCAGACGGGCAGCAAATGTGCAAGCCCCTAGCTCCGCAGTGCATCTTCCATATCTTCCATGTTGGGTCGCACCTGGTCGCACTTGTCGCTCGTCGCGCTCGATGGCTCGCAGACAACTGAGGAGCCTGTGCCGGCCGGCCGGGCCGGCGCTGCGTGTGAAACGGCAGCCACAGCGTTCGCTCTGTCTCACTCACATTACCGCGACGAGCCCAGGCGACGGCCGCTTCGGACGCAGTCGGTGTGGACCCGCACGGCGCAGCCACGAGCGTGAACTTCGGATTGCATTCGGTTGTAGACGAAGCAAAGATCGGCGGCACTATAGTGTGGTCACCGAGGCATCGTCTGTCGACGTCACTGTGGCACAGCGCCAACGCGCTGGCGTGCGACGCCGATGATCGTGGGTTCAACTCTCCACGTCTCCGCATGGATTTTTGAATGCGCAAAAATGTGCCTAGTCAATAAATTAGTCAATAAATAATGAATGAGAATGGCGTTAGCGAATGATCTCGCGCCAAGAACATTCTGTTCTGAATACAAGATCATATCTCAAGAACATCTTTCAAGTATTGTGCTAGTCTTGTCGCAAGAACTGGCTTTTCGGAGTGAGGTAATCGTTGTATTTTTATGGATAAAAATGTTGGTATTATAGTTGCGTAAGATTCAAAGTAGTGAGAAGATAAATTTATCTACAGTAAAGGATTAATTCATCCTTTGAGGATTGAGGGTGTTGCCGTGGAGCATAGCCATGGCCATGCAATCCATCCAGCAAATATAATCCACCATATACCCATGGTCAACTGTTGTTTACATGGTTTACTGGTTCCATAAATCTATCGTCACAAAAATCCATGGTTAAATCTATCTCCATGGCTCATGGACAGCCCCATGTTTTTTTTCACCCAGGGTAGACCCGAAATTTTGTCCGTTTGTCTCTAAATCTAACCATCAGGCGCGCCAGAGGGCGTTTTTCACACAGAAATGACCAGAAAACATTTTAATGTTTTATTTATTTGATGGTTTCTGGTTTGGTTACTCGTCAAAATAGATCCCCGAGGATAAAGTTTGTGACTTTTGGGGACAAAGGCCCATGTAAGACTCTGCCTTTTGCCCGACTCGGGTGTCAGTGCAGCAGGCCTAGGTAGATGTATGCCAGGCGCGTCGCAGAGGTACAGTTCGTGATATATCGCGAAGCTCGTTACACGATCTGGCGTACCTTTCCATTGTACATATATAGGTTTAGTCCGTTCGTAACCGTTCCTAATGCAAATGTCCAAAACAAATAGCATAAATAGGTTTTCGACAGTTCACAAGAACTATATTACTAGGAAACAAGCAGGCCCGCCCTTCCGCCAAACGAAGTTGCCAGCTTCGCTTCGCTGCGCCGGCAACTCCGTTCGGCAGGGGCCGGGCCTGCTTGGCCTGCCGGCGGCGATGGTCGGGCCTGCGGCCCGACCATTTCTGTCACGCGATTTGCTGAAGAACATGATCGAATGATGTAGCGGGCCTTCGGCCCGCTTAAACCCGTCATCTTTGACGTTGCCCCAAAGACTCGAGAAAGGGATGTAACGGTGAAGCACCGCGACTACAACCCACCCTTCTGCTTAGAAAACGGTTTTTGGGGTGGTGGGAAAGTTTCCTTTCTATTTTGCGGTTTTTAGGCCTTTTTCTACCGATGGCAATTTTTAGCTTATTTTCGTCTAAAAAGACCCTCTCGCGTGTAAACGGTTAGAGATAGCGCAAAACAGACGAAAATTTCGCCCACCGGGCTCTACTTTCACAAATTACCTCTTAGAGGATCATAAAAAAAAATATTTTTTCCAACTTTTTTGGCCTTTCCTGTTTTCTTCGACACCCCCTTTCAGACCCTTAGGGGTGGATGTGGCTGACAGGATTTGCCGTAGGCGTTTTGTTTTGTGGGAGTGAACCTT